AAAATTCAAAACTTTAGAAGGTGCAATTGGTATGTAGATCGGTGTAGAAAAAATATGAGTTTTGCAACTTATTGATCTGTCCGTAGTTGTAGATAATTCTTTCAGCTTTAATGTGTGATCAGCATAGAATGCGTTTTGTACATACGCTGAATCATCAAAAGGACTAGCAGTTTTTGGTCTTACGGCGTCCTCTCAGAGTTTTAGCTAGTCAGTAGCTTGAAAAAGCTTCGCAAGTTCTATAAGTTAATACTCACTGATGGAAAAACACTTAAAGGGATAGGCATGTTCATCGTTTTCATCGGAAAATTATTTGGAATATTTAACCTTTATGCAGGGGCTAATTGTGTCTTCTTCAGGTTTTTTGATCATTTCTATCTGACTCTAATTATCCGACCCATGTATAATAGTATACTCGTTTGTCTATTCCATCGAACCTCCGAATAGCAGATTTACGAAACCACTAGAGAGAATGCTGCAAGATTACGGGACATCTCTGCCACATAAGATGCATTTTGGTGTTTCCTTTCTAGGGGATCTCCGACTGGTAAGTTTGAAGTTTTGCATGGGCTAGTGATTAGGAACTGTACTCCAGTCCATAAAACATAAAAATCTCCCGAAAACAAAACCTTTTTTCAATCGTTTTAGGAAGTTAGCGGAGGTGTACGGCGTCCTCACTTTGTAAGAAAAATGTCATATCCTCGGTCTTAAGATAAATGCACTTCTAATGGCTTAACCGCCTGCTATGACAGTTGAGAACCATGCACTTCAGGGTGTAAACAGGATTTTCCGTTGATGTTTGGGTGGTTTAATGTGCAAACGCGTGATGTTTGTACCTAGCGTGTTTGGGCGGAAAAACCCATTTAAGCAATAAGCTTTAGAGATCTGTACTTTAGGACTATGGTATTCAATTCACCCAGGAATGAAATGCCCAAATACGAAAATTAAATAAAAAACGGTTTATTTAACGCCCAGAGTCCTACTGTGATGCAAATGGTGGTTTATGTACTCGTGCAATATTTCTGCTCCCTTGCTATGCCGAACACATTTGAGATAGTGTGTTGTTCATAATGTTTACTGATTTAAGGTGTACTTCCTGGTTAGGCATACATATTTTAGAGCATTTCCGACTGCTTTTCATCATTCTCAGTTCGTTCAAGTTGATGATGTCGTGTGCTGCCGCCCCTCCTTGCTGATGCTTCTCGCCGGATTGACGGGAAACTATTATTACCTTTGTAATCGGACACAAACTGTTTTGCATGAAGAAAACCGGACAACTTTCACGAATTTATGTATTCTCAGCAACCT